CCAAAATCTATCTACTAATACTAATACATGGGAGCCTCAAAGTTTGGCTAAGTTTAATGGTTCAATAGTAAGAGGGGCTTGAATGAGCTTATCCCTGCCTTGTTTTTTGGGGTTCTTTGTTTTTTCTTAAGGAATTTTTTTTCTTTTCTCTTCATGTAATGGGTGATTGTAATTTTGTAATCTTTTCCTTTTTTAATGCTATCCTTCACAGATTATATGTATTTTAGTAGTATCTTTTTTATGGCCATTGATATAATAGATTATTATTTTAATACAATTGGATTTTGTCCTCAACTTTTCACACAAAAAAAAAAAGATTGGGAATGAGTCCTATAACTTAGGCTTTATTTGGGACAGTCTGTTTACTACTTTTTAAAGCAATTTTTTAGCATAAATATTTTTTGAACTAAAAATTTTTGTAAAAAACTTAAAATTGCTTTAGAAAACAGTAAAAAAATGTCTCAAATAGAAGTCTTAGCCAACTTTATTAAATTGGACAAAAAATTAGTACACTTTGGAAAATTTTTCATTCAAAGATTACACATTTATAGTTTTTTTAATCAAATTCTTATTAGAATATCTACATTTCGGTCAATAAAATTTAAGAAATAAAGTTGAATGTTGTTAAGAAAAATCTATATTTCGATCTTGACATAGTTTTATCTCATGATTAATTGGAAATTATTGGATTTATTTTGAAATAAATAGTATAGATGACAAATTTATATAGCACTCATCCCAAAATAAATCAATGATTTTTAGACCCAACATCAAATAACAATAACATTAAGCATTTATTCCACCATGTGGTGTCGGCAACATGAATCGTTTTCCTCTATTGTGTCTGGTAATAGTCAGATTCTCAATCAGATTTAATTAAAAAAAATGCCATTTATGCTTCGTTTGAGATGGCTTTCTTACTGCTTATTAAAGTAGTTTTTTAGCATAAAAATTTTATTTGTTGTACTAAAAAACTGCTTTAAGAAACAGTAAGAAAGTCGTCCCAAACTAAGGCTTCGTTTGGGACAGCTTTCTTACTGCTTCCAAAAGCAGCTTTTTAGTGCAAAAATTAAAACTTTTGTACTAGAAAGCTGCTTTAAGAAGTAGTAAAAAAATCATTTCAAACGAAGCCTAAACCTTATAACTCAAATCTATGGCCTGATTACTTCATCGAATCGGGTTGGGTAAAATTCTAAAAATAATTTGGCCCTAATTTGAACATGAACTGCCTATTAACATCACTTAATAAATATTAATCAATTAGGGAAAGATAAACCAGGAGAGAGAGGTTGGAGAAATTAGTTAAGATATGAGGACTCCCTTAGTTATTTTTATCTCTCTTGGAACTAAAAATAATTTTCTCTACTTAGCACATGTTGCACATTTATTTTATCCGACCCTTCTATCTTTTCAGCCATACCTAACCTTGTTCTCGATTTCCATGAAATTCGCTATCATTAATTATGTGTTGTTCCATGATATTTTTCAAAAGCAAAGCACAAACACCACAAATTTTAAAAAACATAAATTCTTTAAGTTTCTGTTGAAAATAATAATAAAAAAAAATTATATGATCCACAAAACACTACACCAAGCTTATTTCTTAATCCAAGCTGCATTGAGTATAACTTTCTAATTATAGGCTTCGGCATCGTTTGGGTTGGCTTTCTTACTACTTCTTAAAGTAATTTTTAATATAAAAAATTTATTTTTTATACTAAAAAATTGATTTAAAAAATAAAAACAAAGCCATCCCAAATGAACCCTTCATTTGAGGCTATTTTCTTTTTATTTTTTAAAATAATTTTCTAGTACAAAAATTTATAGCTCAAAAAATTTTTATACTAAAAGTTGCTTTATAAAATAGTACGTAACAAAGCTGTCCTAAACAAAGTCTAAGAGTTTATTTGGGATTATTATAGTATTTTATAAATGTAGTTACAAAGTTGTTGTAGAAAACTAACTTTTTTAAAGCTTTTGTGGTTATTATAAATATATTATTTAAAAAATTTGAACAGCTTCTTTCTTAAAATTATCACATATTAATAACTTTAATTGTAAAAATTAGCTTCCAATCATAAAAAATCTTTACAAAACAATAATAAAGTAGCAAGAAAATAATAGTCAAATAAAATATTTTATCACTATTTTTCTCCTATTTTTAAGAAATTTTTTTATCAAAAAATAGTTTTATAAAATAGTAAAAAAAATCGCCCTAAACTAAGGCTATATCTTATTTTTTTGCAGGTACTATGCATGCCTATGAGGTGTTATTCTTTGTTAAAAGATTTGTATCATATGCCTAAATGTAGCTAGACTATGATTTCAAAATGTCCAATTATCATAATTTTAATTGCTCCATGCTTTACATATAATATAAGTTAGAGGCCTTTACTAGCAACACATTCCTTCATGATTTATGTGATTGGTCTTGAAATCCTACGTTTTCTGAAAATTATTCTATGTAATGCCGCTCAGTTTTCTGTATACTGCTAATGCTCATACATATAGCAGTACGTCTATCATTCTTCATTATTTAAATATTGTTCTAATATTGCACAATCTGTTTTGTTGGAGAAATTATTTGGTGGGGTCTACAGACATAGCTTTACATCTAGACTTTAATACCATGCCGCCACGCGATCAGCAAACTATCCCGACCAATAAAATTATAATATTTTGGCGTCTTTTTCAATTTACCGCGCGAGCTGACCACCTGATCCTATCAAGAGCCAAAATTTTAAGTTCTACTAAAAAGAAACCAGCGTAAAGCACCTATATCTAGGGTTTAGGATTATTTTGGCCACTTGAGGCAGGATATCTCTGAAGAGATTTGGAAGGTCAAGAGCTCCTGAAACAAGAGAAATTGAAATGCTTTGTTTTTTGGATTTTTCGTTGAAACGCCTCCGTTCTCTTAGTAAAAAGTCACTTTTTGGCTATGGACAGGTGGGGTATCGAAATCCGAATTCAGACCCGACCCGACTAGTTGCCGGGTTGACCCGACCCGACACGGGACCCGAAACGCGCGGACGAGAAGCAAGGCTTGGCTCCACGCCTACAGTAGTGTGGTTGATTAACTGCTGAGTTTATCATAATGACAGAGGACAAATCTGTTGACCCCTCAAACTAAAAGGGAGCCATTAATAATGAATATAATTAAGCATTGTGGTGTTAAAGTGTCAAGTTGGGGATAGAGAGCAAAATATTGTGATGCTTTTAGTTGGAATGGAGACATGGAGTAGAGCACTACGGCACTCCAAACCTCAGCACCACAACGCTTTGAGTTAGGTTGGGTAGTTTCTTACATATTTTTCACGATTAACTTGAAATAATGCACCTATAATGAAGACACTAGGACCCATACTTGCACTGACTGATTCAACATGCTTTGATGGGAGCCCGACCCACTTTAAAATGAGCTATTTTCTTAAAATTAAGTATGCTCTCTTAAAATTCTATTTAAATAAGTACATGGGGAGTAAATTAATTTGAAATTAAGCTACATTTGCACTTGTTTAAATATTTATTGTTAGTTTAAAATTTTAAATTCTAGTTGATTGATTTAAATATTATTGATGGCAAGTCAAGTCAATCAATTCTGCTTAAAATTAAATTATACTTGTACTTTATTTGTTTTAAATATTGATTATCAGTTTAGTTTAAATATGAATTTATACAGTGAACAAGTTTAATTTAAATTTTGATTATTAATTTAGAATTAATTTCAACTGTATTTCCACCCTTATTAACCAAATATTTATTGATAATTCATAAGGATAAATATTAATATGTGCAAAAACTCAATTTTTCTTCAAGGATCTTATAAAATATTCATCTTTTAATTTTTTGTTTAATTAAAATAGATATGAAAAAATATTTTAAATGAAAGCTTAAAGGATATGAACACATTATGATCATGCAAAGTCTAAAACAAATTTGTTTTCCATTGTTAATGATATTTCATAGTATATAATGATAATTAAATCATTATATGACGATTTCTAAAGATGATGACTTTGAGGAAGAAGTTATAGTTCTCATTCTTAATTATAAAATTTTCATTATCATACACTTTATATTTTTATATTAGAACTTAACGATTGTATTTTAAAATCAATAATATTGAGGGTAATATTAAATTAATTAATTTGTGTCGCCGCTAAGAAAATCTCTTGCTCTGCCCTGGGCTACCATTATCATCAATAAAATATCAATATCAACCAACCCCATCCCCCACCCACCCCC